AAGCAAATTCTCAAGATATCCTCTCTTTAGCAACCAAAATAAATAATGTGAAATGACAGTTCCAGAACATACAACAAAATATGGACATTTTCATAGTTTTATTTAACCAGCACCAATATTACACATAAAAAATGATAAGCTCCTGTGTGGACTCTTAACTCTACATTACTGGTGATCCTTGGTTATTCCACCCTCCAAATATCCCAAAATGTAACAAGCTGTCCTTTGATTCCCAGACAATTCCCCCTTGTTTCCAGGCTGTTTTTGGAGCTGCAAGTACAATTTGGAAAAGCAACATCAAGTTTGATGGATCAGTTGTGAGACTAACCAACCCTTTGACCTGTAAGAGTGACTAGCATCTAATTTCTCCTAAAAACATTACCCCATGATCACATGTTAAGTCAGAAGAATAAAGGAAATGATCACTAACTAAAAAAGCTCTTGACTGTTCAACAAATTCTCCTTATCAGCACCTTAATAAATGTATAGATAACAGTATGGAGAATATGCATCTTGACGTTAAAGGTGTAAAGGGCTAATCTTTTGAGTCAGTCATGCCTATGCTTGGAGTGATGATATTTTCTAACTCTAATGGATTAGGGAAAAAAATAACTGATCCTGATTTGAATGGCACTATTCTCAGCAGAAATTACTTTATTTCTTTCTTTCTCCAAGAACAGGGGTCTAAGTTCCAGTTTGCAAAATGTTAAACCAAGTTTGCAAATTTTATTCTCATGTTTAACCATTGTATGTTGATTTTTTATTCATTTTTCAATTGTTTTTGCTTTATTAAAGGCTTCATGTTTGTACAAAAACCAATATTTATTTTAACCATCTCTGCTTATAGTCATAAAATCTCTTGGTTTCCAGCCCCATAAGGCAAAAGCAAAGAAGCTCAAAAATTGGCCAACATTAACCCTACATAGATATTCAACGTCTCTTTGAGTATTCAACTCGATATCTCAGCAGCTGATTGGCGATATCAAACACACATAAGAAATTATCGTAATTTTACACCTGTGCAGTTATAGCTTTTCTCAGGCTTAGAAATCTTTTCCACATGTTAAAAAATTTTTCCAACACAGCAATTTTCAATCAAAATTGATGTTTTGGATCTATAACCATCTGCATACTTTTGAAAAGGTGAAGAGAGTTTTCCTCCTTACAGGAAAGACTCAAAATGTTTTGATAAAGTTCCAAATTAAAAATTCCTCAAGTTCTCACATCAATTCATAGTCTCCCGTACCTTAGTCACACTTCACTTTGCACCTCTTCCCTTTCCTACTTTTTCCCTTGCAATCCTTCCCGTCGCCGCTTTGGGGCGGGTTGGTGCAGGTTCGGTACTTGTACTGTTTGCCTCTCTTATTGCACTTCTTGCCTTTACATTCACCATAATCACTCCAATCGGTCCACCCACCATCCACTGTGAATTTAAAATGGAACTAAATCAATGAATTTTAGACTAATATTTCCTTGGCGCATTGAAAATAGGAACCAAACGAATATATGTGAATTTATAACATCTCTCAGTAAGTATGTCCTCTATGATTGAGTACAAAGAACGCGCGAAATAGAGTACAAAAATCTTGCGATATTGTACGGTCATTTGGACGGCTGGTTATTTTGTACTGTAAAAAACCAGTTTAACCAGTCCGCTGCGCGCACTACGCTTCTCTATCTGCTTTGCTTTTCCCGCCTTGAGAGAAATGAGCTGAAAGACTTGGACAATAAATAACTCATTAAACGTTTTGGTGTGTAGTAACGCTGTGTAGTTTTACTCGTTGTTTGTATTTTGTCTCGCCCTACGGGCTCACCGAAATACGGCACAACTGGTAAAATACTCAGCAATACTACACACGAAAACATCTCATAAGATATACAATTTGTACTCCACTCGAGCGTTGCTGTAACTTCACTATGTGCAGTTGGATAATAATAGCTTATAGTACGATTAGTAGACGCTGAGAAAAGATATTTGAAGTCATTTTTTAAAGGATGTGAGGTACCTACCATTACAAGGCTCCACATTACAAACCATTGTTTCCTTAGCTGACCCTGAACATTGGGCTCCACCTCCTGACGGAGGGGGATTGGTACAGGTTCGTGAGCGCTCCTTGATTCCACCTCCACAAGTGGCGCTGCATTCTCCAAAAGATCCGAATTCAGACCATCCACCATTAACTGCAGCTGAAATAAATAAGTTATTTCTAAAATAAGTAAGTTTTTTGATCGACATATGATTATTTTCATTGTGAATGATAAATTTAATCATATCATAATATGATCTTATCGCTGCTCTCATCTTGAAGAGCAAAGTATGAGTGTGAAATGAGGCCCGATTGTCACCTTGTCACCAGTGCCTTGCACCTTAATGGTTTGACATTTCATTTGAAATGCAGAAATATTCTGGTTTCTTTTATCTATCAGAGTTCCAATGGTTTGTTTCCTTTTACAGTTTCAATTTTACATCTTTCTTTAGTTAAATCTTGTACCCTTTTGATAAACTTAACGCATCACTCAGAGTCTTAAACTTCCCTCTTTACTATAATTGTAAAGATTTTGAAGCACATAGAACGCAATACCTTTCTTCATGCTGCAGCATTTGAATTTTTCAATGCAGTAAAGGTGCTCACAGCCGCTTTTGTAGATTCCAGTCATGTAATAGCCATCCCGTTTGCATTCGCTCCAACCTTTCTTGTCGAACGAAATGCCAACATCCTCATCATAACAGTCATCATAAGCGTTCGGATGATTCTGTGGACGACAGCACTTGGACTCTTCGATGTTGTAAATATTTGTTGGATCGGTGATATAGATGCCCTCCATGTAATAGCCAGCAGGACACTGAGCCCAAACATCTTTTCTGAAAAAGAGAAGTGAAAAGGAAAAACGTAGGTTATAGAACAACTGAAATAGTGCTCAAACTTACTTTAATACCTCCACGCTATGGAAAGGATATCCGTGTTTTTGTAACCTGGTAGACCGTTGTACTTCGAGCATTATTTTTGGATAGAGCTTCACTAGTTTATTTTAAAGGCCTAAATACGGCAAAACCTAAGAGAGGACATTCTATTATGCGCTGAACAATTCGAATCTTCAACATCCCTCCCCCCCCTCAGGCAACCAACGGACATTTGACCGTTGTCCGTGCTCGTGGGGGTGAGGAAATTGATCAGAAAGTGTCAAATCTTTCCAGCGAAATACAAGGGTTATATCTTCAAATATGCCAAGGTGTTTAGAGTAAATAGTTCACTTGTGCGAGCGAATCGCTCAGGAGAAAAGTGGGTTTACATGGTCTACGTTTTCAGGTTTGGTCCATGTGTAGAAAGTCACGGTCACTGATTTTGCCTCTTACGAATAAATTAGGCGGGGCATTTGGGCACAATTTTTGCCCCGGGTGACAGGTATTTAAAAAAATCTATCCTCACAATTTCAAATGCCCCGGGGGGTTGCCCGGAGGGATTTTGAAGCTTCGAATTCATCGAAGCATTACTTTCCATCAGAAAAGTTTAGAAAGCCAGAGTTTTGAAAGCCCTGTGATATTCAACCAGCACGACTCACCCGTCTAATGCGCTCCACCAGTTTGCGTTTGTGCAAGTTGACGGTTGATTAGCATAACTTGGTTCCTTAGCTCCGCAGCATTTTCCTTCCTCGATAAGCCAAAGGCCGTTGTTCCCCGATGGATCATTTCGCCAGAGTCCTTTGAGGAAAGTACGATCATTTGGACATACAGACCAACCTTTCTTGTCAAGACTTGCCCACCAATTTGCTGTGTCACAGCTCAGAATGGCGTCAGGTTGAATTATCAGCAGCATGCTGATAAAGTAAAGTGCGAGCCCAAACTTCATCCTGTAAAAAACCTTCTTTCAGGCAACCAAAGCGCAGATTAAAACGCTGGAGATCCGAAAGCTTGAAAAAAAAAGTCAAGTGGTTACAGGATTGCAATTTCGTCTGTCAATGTTATCGTAAGAAAGGGTAAATGGTTTGGTCGTCCCAAAATCTACAGAGAAAGATGAAAAGAAGACCAGCCGTTTCCGAAAAGACGTGCTTGAGATACGCGATACCTCTTCATGTTTCTTCTTTCAGAAGTAATAAAAAAAGCAACTCTTCATTAAAGTGATAACTTTTCCTAAAACCATTTCTTTAATCAAAAGATAAAGAAAAATTGGTTAAGTTGCCCAAATCATTTAAAAAAATTGTGATATCTATCCGCCAAGATTATGTTGTATTTGTGCTCAGGCCTGAATGCCCCGTGAAATCTATACCCTAATCAAATATTGGAGTTTTCAGTTTAATTCGAACACCTATCCTCTTTTCCTTTGTTGAGCATAATTTCACTTACATCAAAAGAATAAAAGTAACGAGACAATAGTGAGCGTACAAGAAAAAAGAACATAAATGTATCCAATAACATTTCACTCTGTGACTCTTCTCGCAAGAGCCAAATTCATTTAGGAAAGCTAACAGGAAGAGCATAAAATAACTAACAGAACATTTTCAATGGATAAATGGAAAGTACTGAAAATTTCTCTTACCTTTCTGCAAAAAGACCCGAATTTTGTCAGGAATACCAAGGAATAAAAGGGAATCCTTCTCTTCCTGCTTCAAACTCAAAACTGTTTGGTAAGGGTTGAGTATGTAGTTATTATCTTATTGGTAGTTGGGATGCGTCTCATTTTTTCTGAAGCAATACCGTTCCCCAGCACTAGGGCATCAGAATAATTTCATGCATAAGAATCATGATGCTAAGGGCAGGGAATTTCTTGAGAGGAAGGGCCCTTTTGAAAACTTTATAATTAAAAGCTAGAAAAGCCATTTCTGGGGCCTTTTGGTGATAAATTTTGAGCAAAATTTAACGCCAGAATCTAAATGTTTACATTGCTCAAAAGCTACATGTTGAGTGGATGATTAAATTTCCGAATCTTTGTTAGCTTAAGGTTATTAAGAACGCATATATGGAAAAATGGAAAATTAATCTAGTAGCTTATTTGCTCAGGTCATAAAAATGTAACTCACTTTAGACGAGCACTTTTTCTCGTTCTCGAAACCCATAAGTGGTAAAACAAACTTTTTTTATTTGTCATTTATTTTGAAATTTTTAATCAAACAGTTGTAACGATGTTATTACAAATATTGTCGGTGTTGAAAATTAGTTACCTACTGGTGATGTTTTTAGAATGTATATAAACTTTTCTTTGAGCATAATTGATATCCTTTACCAGTAATTTCCCTTAATTGGCAATCAACCGCATGGACTTTGATACAATAAGGAAATGCTTTTCATGAAAAGCATTCCCTCTTTCTTTGTAATATCAACTTATGTAAACCCAGATCGTTAAAAAGATGGAAGGACGCGAAGATTTTAACCAAAATAAAAATGCTAATTTGCTCTCTAGCTTTTTTTAAAATTATTTATTCATATATATATATTTTTTTTTTCTTCGTTTTTTATTAACTCAGACCAGTGAACAGTGCCAAGGAAGACGTCTTGTTGTGGTAGTTTCTCGTTTATTTCTTCATTCGATTGGCCTCCAGAATATAACAACACGCAATAACATACGTATTGAGGCGTTTCTTGTAACGTCCGTTCACATGTGTCAGTTATTAATAACTTCCATAAGAAGTTAAACTCAGGAGCAGGAATTTGTATATATGCTGTTTAATGTTCAACGAAACGCGTCGGAAAAAATAAACTTTAAAAATTTTTACAAATTATAAAACAATTATGGTATTTAACATGATACGAATGAAACTTCTCAGCATGACAACCCAATAAAAGGTTATTAGATAATAATTTTCATGACTTATGAATGACATCTCTTTGTAACAACTAACTCACCAGGAGTGTGTGTTTGGCTAAGCGGCGCAGTTGCAACTGTGCGGGAGTGTTTTGATGATATACAATGAGTACAAATGATAAAAGTGAAAGAAAAAAAGTGCCCCAATGGGTTTACACTGATCTCTTTAAGATCAGCGTATATTCACTTGTGACTGATTCGGCTGCAAAAATAGAAAAAAAAATCCCACAAAACTATTGCTTAAAGCACACACGAATTCTTATCATCTATTAAGGCAACGATATTTGGCAAAATGTTCACAAGGATAGAGTTATTTGAAGATAATACTTTGTCGGTGAATAGTCTAAAGAGTTGTTCTCTTTCACAGCAGGTGATTTTCTTAGACAAGCACTTCTTCACGTTGCATAAAGTTTGTGTTGAAAGCTAATGATTATACACCAAGGAAAGAATAACGCGCACACATTCATTATCAATTATCCAGTAGTTTTTTTAATTTTCATTTCTCAACACCAATCTTAATTCGAACAAAGGTCCGACTCTATCGGATTATTCAAACAATAGCAGAAAAAATTATCATTGGTAAGCCATTGCCTTTGATCCTCAGCGTTACTTTCCTTTGTCTTTTTTTCTTGTTGAAAAATACATAATTTTCATATTGAGTCCTCAAGTTTAATGGAACAAATGATCGACGTCAGTTTGCCATAAGAACGGTAGCACCTTAAGAAAGTAAATAATTTTTGGAATTCGATAGATTATCAAGGGTTATTAATATCGATTAATGCAATTTCTAGTGCTACGCAGCGTACAAGATTTAAAGAATAGCCGACAGGTTGGTGTTTGACCGCGGTCTACCACCATGATATGATACCATGATACCATCGAGAGCCACTGTCACTCGAGAACTGATCCTTTCTCAGCCATTCTTCAGAGTTAACGTCAGACAGGGAAGGAGAGGTTGTCCAGCTATGGTCACGGCTATGGTCAACCCAATGCGCTCTTGAACTTGAACCGTGCAGAGAAAATATCGGGTCGACTCAAAAACATTGAGCCGTCTTCGATACTGAACCAAGGATTCAATTGTTTTAGCAGCCTTTATATTTTCGCAGAGAAAGGTGCTAAGGGCATTGGCACATCTTTTCTCTTGAAAATGTCTCCGGGAAATTCTAATTCTAACTTAAATCACCCTTAAGGCGATTCCTCATTATTGCATTGCGTATCCTGTACTGTGTATAAAAACACGTAATCAGGCGAATAAGCGCGCACATTCCGAGAACACAGTATTGTTTTTCAATCAATGAAGCAGGTAAAGAGGTGCATAACATTAGCATATGAGAATGTTTATCCCTCGTCTTGAGGCTAATTATTGAAAGAGGTGCACACCTGCACACCTGTCTCAATGCTAATAAAACTGTAAAATTTATCGTTGGTTTAGTAAACGTTTCGTTCTTCATTCTAAGTAAAACATTTATAATGAAAAACAATGACAAGGTAATATAAGAAGAGCTACGGCATGCTCCTTTTTAAAATTTAATGAAAACATTTTTAAACATGTTTGTAAATGGTATTAACTTAAATTGGAAAAACTACATTGCTCAAAGAAAGGCTAAACGTAGCGTAGAAAGAAAGGGAAATTTTGAAGCTCAACTAAATTGGTGGCTTGCAGTCATACGATTTACGTGGAGATCTATTTAAAGCTTTCGTTTTCGGTTCAAATGATTATATGAAAAGGACGCTGGAGAGATGTATCATTATTTTTCTGAGCGTTCATGGCCCAAGAATAAAAACATAAGATTTAAGACGCTAACGCTCAGCAGCTTATCCGTCAGCTTAGCAGTCCATGCTACGAATATTGGTTAAAAAGAGTACTATTTACTATAGAGAGGGAACTGCTGCTTCACTTTTAAAAGCTTGTAAGTCATGCGGGTGCTTGTTTTTTGTTTTTTGTTTTTTTTGTCCCACTGTCGTGACAACACGACAAGACCTCCTTGTTCATTCTTTTAACATACTCAAAACTCGCTATCTCTCTCATTCCCGTCAAGTTATTTTCGTCAATAAATTTATTTAAGAACCACCTGTACAAGATGTCCTTTTTTATTGTTTTATTCTTTAAGATTTTTAATTTAAAGCACCTATGATGGATTATTTTTTTCGACACGCTCCCTTCGTAAGTTGTCATTTTGTATAACGAGTTAAATTTTCAAATGTTACTGGCAGATGGTTTTAATCAGATCACCTGACAAAGGCTATTGTTTAGTAAAGATAAGATATGATTGGGAAACAACCGTGAGGGGAGGGGTGGGTATGCTAAATCAATATGATCGTCACTCACCCAAAGAAAACAAGAATAAAAGACCAAGAAAATGGGATGGGGGGGGGGGGGGTCTCGGAGATTTTTATAATTTAGAATCATGTTTCTCCCTTATGGAATCGAATGTATACTTGTTTCATTACTGACAAAGCGCTAAATTTCAGTTATCCTGGGCTTGGTAAACGTTTCGTTTCTCTTTTTAAGTAAAGAATTTATGGTGAAAACCAATGAGTTGACGTAAGACGTGCTAATATTTTCTTTAAAACCTGTTTAAAAAATTTTAAACTCAATTGTCTTGAGAAAGGAAAAAACTGTAACCTGGCAAGCCACATGGATACTCCGTTTTTTTTCTTGCTCCACGCTCGTGATAACTCTAAAAACGTCTTCCTTTATCATTTACCGAGCTCAAAATTTGCCATCTTTCTTATCTCAGTCTAAACACTTTTGGTCGTGGATTTATTTAAGAACCAAATCTACAAGATGCATTATTTTTGTTGTTTATTGCTCGCAAGGTCAGATAATTTCATCACAGCTTGCTCTACAGTAAAGACAGATGATTCCAGTATTGTGTAACGTTTTAGCCTTCAGTTACAGACACCTTTAGCACTTCCAATTTTTATTCACCGTGGCATGGATCTGAAAACTAATCAAAGATTTTATAAGATTAGTCCTTTCTCTGTTGCAGTGGATGTCTTGGCCAAGTGAGCGTCGTTATGCATAAAAACGTAAAAGTAGGTCATCAGTGTTTCAAAAGAAATGGCACACGCGATGTTTCAAGTGGGATACGATTACTTTCAAATCGTCATCTAAACGTGATAACGTGGCAAAGAGTATTTCTTCGTCATGAGCAATTTCTTGAATACTTATTGGAATTGATGATACCCAGGTTTACCCCTTTCATAGCACGCCTTCAACACTCGACATCATGCGCCTTATTTTTAGAAAAAAAGTTTACTGATGGTAATCCTTACTGATGGCGATCAAAACAAGACATTGATTAAAAAAAAAGACCTTCAATTAGAGAGACACAGAAATACAAAATACTACTGGTCCCCATAATCAACAACGTTTACTATAGGAAAGGTACAGGACAGAAGCCCAAAAAGGATACAACTCGCGCATGCGCAAACCAGTGAGGATCGAAATGAACAAATCATCGGCGGCTGTTTCAAACCATCCAATCCCAGCGAAGCATAGTGCTTCGTAAGGCTATGCGTAACCAGTAGAATTCATCGTGTGAAGAAGAGTGGCAGGTTATAACCAAAGCATAGAAATCTACTTCCAAAACGACCCCATCGCACTGCAAGCTATAACACTCAATCGCTACGTTCCTTAAACACGACCAACCGCTTCCTTTTTTCTGCTACACTTGTTACAATATTTACCTGCTTTCTCGCCGTACATTCGAACTATTTCCCCTTTCCTGTAAAAGAAAAATAGTTGGTATATATTTCTTAACATTCAGAAGCGTTACGTGTGAGTTGATTTTGCTTGGCTGTCACTCTTTACCTTGACCAATTTACCTAACTTGTGAGTATTCAAAGATACTGCAGCTGGTGACATTGCAGTCAACAGAATTACTGATAGTCAAAACTATCTCTCTCAACTTTCATAGAAAGAAGTTCGACGAGTGCTGAAACTTGTTTCAGCTTTTTAAGCCGTTTAATTGTTAAAAACGGATCAAACCAATAGATGGAGATCAAATACATAGATCGTATTCCAAAAGTAATCGTCCCTAGCATATTTTTAGACTTCTAGGTCTCTGTTCCTGGTTTACAGGCAGTGATGGTACTGTCTTGGTAATAGACGACGTATACTCAACCTGAGCAGGCGGGATCCTTGGAACGTCCGCATGAGAAGCAGATTATTTTCAGATCTCGTCATGAGATCTCCGGAAACGGAATGATCTACCATCTGAGAATAAACTCCGAAGGAATTCAATTTCTAACCTCAATGATCTCCTTTTTAATTGTATCCCATACCTTTGCATGAACGCACTTTGCATTTGATAGTCTGCGAATATGGTCCTTTGCAGTTCTTTCCAAATCCCGATGGGGGTGGGTTGGTGCATTCGCGGTTGCGAGTCTTCTTTCCTTTACCACAGGTCTTGCTACACTTGGAGAACGCAGACCACTGAGTGAACCCTCCATCAACTAAAACGATGCAAAAACTTCCAAAAATTAGTCGATTAAACAATAAACATGTCCTCCACCTTTATTAATAACCGTTTCCACCATGACATCAGGATGCATACGCATACATGTCCATTTACCATACTAAAACCACGACAATATCGAGTAGCCCCGGCTAGCTTTAAGTTCCAAATAGTTAAAGGATCAATATGGCAGCAGCTGAGATTATAGAATAACCACAACTAGATTTTCATCTCGATACACTGACCTTTTCCTTCCTATAAGCCTTATGCTATATATGTTATTATCTTCAAAATGATGGTTCAAAAATGATTGACCTACCATTTGGTACTGCACATGGACCAGTGTTACACTTCCGCTCCTCCTCGCTGTCTCCAATGCATTGTTTACCTCCATATGCCGGTCGAGGATTGGTGCACGTTCTTGCACGCATCTGGGTTCCACCTCCACAAGTTTTACTACACTGGCTCCATTCTCCAAAGTTACTCCAGCCACCGTCAACTATGTAATCATAATAAAGAGAGCCAAGCTAAGGACGGATCCTTGCAGGTAAGCTTTAACTCCCAAGATCTATTAGTACTTCTCCTTACTGTCTGCCATATAATTCTTGTGTTGTTAGATCGGAGTATTTGGTATTGGATCAACTGATTATCCCCTAATCGATATTTTTCTTTGTTCTCATCCCTTGTCTCCTTGATATTGTATTGATATTGTGGGGAGAAATTTTGTCTTAGTCACTCGTAGGAGTTAAAGGGTTAAAGAGGTTGCCGGAATAGATTCTAATGCTTGCCTCCTAAATTTCAAATGAGCACCGCTGCCAACCCAGGAGGAAGCCCCCTGTTGGAAGCGCGGTAACAAGTTTAGTGGATTCCTCTTTCCCTGGAATTTCATTAAAATCCAATGAAATCAATTACAGAGAGTTAGTTAGTTAGGTTCAGCTTGCTAGGGATATAAAACAAACCTAACATATAAGCTTAAATGTAAAACATATCCGGAAACTCTGACCAGACATTTTATGCTTTTATATGTCGTGGGAGAGTACTTTCTATTTAATCACACATACCAGAACAGCCTCCATTATTACAAGCCCTTGTTTCTGCACTGGGCCCTGAACACTGTGCCCCACCACCGGAGGGAGGGGGATTAGTGCAGGTTCGAAAGCGTTCTTGTACACCAGCTCCACAACTGACACTGCATAATCCCCAGTTTCCAAAGCTACTCCATCCTCCATTTGCTAAAATCAAACACAGTCACTCTTTTATGATAAGTCTTCTTGCCGAGTATTGATAAGGAATATTAAAAGAGGATCTGCTGATTAGACTAGTTAGAAAACTACACAGAGAATCTAAGAAGAGCTTCCCAGCTACGTTTGCTAAATATTGAAGTGACAGTTGAAGAGCATGCGAATTTTAATGCAAGTGGCCTTTTTTAATCGCCTAGGAGGTTTAAAGGACTTTGGAGGGCAACACATAGTTTTCATGAGTGAGGATCAGTCCTCGCCAACGGAGTGAAAAAGAGGTAATATGGAAAAATTACTGTCAATCAACGCCCAATGAGGGGGGAGGGGTGGTCATGATAGTATTACAGAGCCTAAGGGGATCGAGTAAATTCTATCGTAACACAACCAAAATCCTCCCTCCCCCTCCCCATCGCGCAAATAATGACCCCCCTCCATGTGCAATACCTCATAGAGTTTTACTTACTTGGGCACCCTCCACCATTACAAGACCTTGTTTCTCTGTTTTCACCTGAACATTGCGCCCCGCCGCCGGAAGGAGGAGGATTGGTACAGGAGCGTACGCGCTCTTGATATCCAATTCCGCAAGAGGCACTACATTGGCCCCAAAGTCCAAACATACTCCACCCTCCATTTACTGCAAACGTAAAAGTTTTTCACATTATCTTGAGCGAGTTTTATACTCTATCGCATCTGTAGACAGTAAGGGTTTCTACGTGAAAGAAGCCTCCTGTACTTGTAATGAAGAAAAGCACTCTTACCAGGGCAAGCATGGCCACCACAGTATCTTGTTTCTTTGCTTTCTCCGTTGCATTGCGCCCCACCGAGTGATGGAGGAGGATTGGTACAGCTGCGCGTGCGCTCTTGCTGTGCATGCTGTCCACAAGTAGCGCTGCATTGTCCCCAGTTTCCCCAGTTGCTCCATCCACCATTAACAGCACCTTAAAAAACAAAATATACTGATAGTCAGCTTTTGAAATTTTAGCACTTTTGTAAAGAAATCATTTCACTCGTGATTATCATTTGACTATGTTTCTAGGAAAGTCTTCGATTGCGAAGCTTCACCCCATTCGTTGATGAATACGGGCTTCAATTTATGCTGCAATAATTCTTCAATTTTTCGCTGATTTCTGAGCTCAGAATTACTTATGCTATTGTAATGATAATTCAGAGGTGGTATAATTTCAGGGTATAATGGGTATAATGTGGTTTTAACCACCCAATTTGTCCAAATTGTACGGATACGGTTAAAAAAGGGCGATCATAAAAGGACTTTGTCAATGTTAAAGAATGTGTTTTCTCGTAGTGACAAGAATCATACGAAATGATTCCTGTGATACAGGTTATACCACCCAAAGTTCAGCGTCTCACGGCAATATAAAAACTATCATTAAATTTAAAATGAATTTAACTGTTATTTTGGGAAATACCGTTAAAAATTAAGGGGGGGGGGGGTAAGGGGGTATTAAAAAATAAATTATTTTCATCAACACAGTGATATCAATTGGCCACCATATAAAGTTTCTGAAGCTGACGTTTCGAGCGTCAGCTCTTCATCATTCGCTCTACCTTTAAAGATTGATTCGAAATGAAAATAGAGAACGTTTACCTAACTTCATCTTGCAGCATCTGAGCTTTTCCAGGCAGTAAAGTTGATTGCAGTCACTTTTGTAAATACCCACCAAGTAATAGCCCAATTGCTTGCAGAACGCCCAACCTTTATTGTCAAACTTATAAGTGTAGTCTTCATCGTAGCAGTGTTCAAAACTGTTTGGATGACCCTGTGGGTGGCAACATTTTGCCTCGTCAATGTTGTTTAGATAGGCTGGTGGACCAGCGCCGAGCCTTACGCCCTGCATGTAATAACCGGCAGGACACAGAGCCCAGACATATTTTCTGGAATGGAAAAGAAATATCTATATAGTTCTCTTTATCATAAACGTATATTTTTTCTGCGGTGTTAGACAGCATGAAAACTAGTTCTACCCATGGTGCGCGGCCACTTAGTATCTGAGCATGTCGAAGGTTGTTTGCTAATAGAGAGAAACAATACTAACATTGCACATTTGAATATGGAAGTATTTTCTGTCCGTAACAGTAGCATATCTGTAACAATAATTGGTGTACTAGTTAAGAAATAGATTCCAAGTTACCGTGCGTCTGTTCAGTAATAGATCACAGATGACGTCAAAATGTGGTAAGAACAAAAAAGTGGCACACGAGGCGCAGCCGAGTGTGTCACTGATGCTCTTTACCACATTTTGACGTCCTCTGTGATCTATTACTGAACAGACGCACGGCAACTTCGAATCTATTTGTTTTATGTAATAAATAATTAAAAAAGTTTTAATGATGACGTCATCTATACATCTGTCCTCCAATAGATCATAAGTGAGAACCAATCAGAATGCGTGTATAACAGAGCTTATTATATAATATGTTTTATCTTCACACTCGAAGAAATGCCCAAATAGATGATATTTCTAACTACAATCGTCTCTTCCTTTCCCTTTCCCCTTATTGTGTTATTTCATATTAACGTGCTGCGTGTGATTCGATAACTAAGCCAATCCAGTCCACAAATTTGAACTTGGCATTCGAAACTGACGTGGAAACTTCCATTCATTATTTTTGATTCTTGAGTTGAGTTGTTTTTTCAAATTTTTTGTTGACGCATGAATTTGTCACGTGTTTTTTGGAACCAAAGGCCCATTGAAGTCTTAATTTAAATCGAGTTGGACTCTAGCCATTTTTCGATACACGATTTTTATCACTTATTACTATGAAGGTATGTTTTTTCTTTTTTCAGTAAAGCTGAACTTAACAAATCGTTCTACCTCATTCATTTGCAAAGTATACTTACGGGGTTAAGATTGAAGTTATGTTATTATTTTCCTCAAATTGCTCACCTATCCAAAGTCTGCGCCCAATTTGCATTTAAGCACGTTGAAGGTTGTTTGTGATAGGCTGAAATAAAAGCGTTACAGCATCTTGCAGTTTCAATGCGCCCAACTCTCTCGTCTCCAGGTTTGTTATCGTTTCTCCACAATCCCTTGAGATAAGTTCTAGAATCGGGACAAGTGGACCACCCCACTCGGTCTAGGCTTGATTGCCAGCTGATATCCGAACACTGGCCATAGCTAAGATCAACGTGGGAAATCATCAATACGCTGATAAGTTGAATGGCAAAAACGCACCGCATCCTGAATCTGAAGCGAAAAAGACGGTGTCATTAATGTCTACTGTAGATTATCTTGATTTTTGACTTGCTGCTCTGTGAAATGATACACCTTCACGGTACAGTAAAGGATCTGGCTGAGAAACTTAATTTGCTTTAAAAACCTCCCACGAATACATGATCGCCATATTATAAAACGTAATGTAAAATATTGCTAGAGTGATGTTGCCGAGAAGCTCTGCACTCAGAGTGATAAGCAAAGATACATGAAAATAACATTCGCGTCCAAGCAAGGTGCCAGTAATTAGCCTTAAGGTAGAATTTTGTGATGTAGGCGCTTTTATTTTCTTATTTGTTTGCTTATTTTCAGCTTGCAGAAATGAGTACCTACCAGATATAATTCTTAAGACCCAATTATAAATCATTTTACATGTACTTGGATGACTTGTTAAAATTATTGATTCATCTCTATTGGGGGTGCAATCGCTATAGGTTTGTCTGAATACATGACAGGAAAAAACAAGAGTTGAAAGAGTTTTGGAGAATTCAGTAATTTTAAGCACTTAGCGATGTGTCTGCACTTAAGATCAGGAGAAACTTCACCAGCAAGTAATGCTACCATTACATCCACTCTAGTGTAAAACTTAAGTAACTATAATACATGTTCCTTATAGCTCACCCAGAAACGTAAGGTATATGAAGCAGTTATCTTAAAAAAATTTATACTTCAAGTTTCAATTCACGAATGAATTTTGATAGCCTTCGACATATGTTATCTTCCTTACCTGCTTTTTAGTCTGAGACGTACAATTCGGGATCTGACTAAGTACAACGGTACTTTTCAAGCCTAACGAGCCAATGTAATGACTCAAAATGTTGCCTTTTCTCCGGCTAATGATCAGCTGATTTTGCCAATAGATGTTTAATTAAGGTTGACGTGGCCCAAAGAGTTTTCTTATATGTATTGAATTTCTTAAAGATCAATTCATAATTAGGATCTTTTATGTTATCTCATCTGTACACCCAAGAGGCGGTCATAGCTGGAAAATGAAATCAATTTTGGAAACGATCCTTTATGACAATGAAATTAAGTGGAGTTCAAGGATCATGCAATAAAAGGCTTTCCCTTACAGAGTCTCAGAGTCTCCTCTCTCTCTTTGGTGGAGAGAAGAACTGTGAGAGCAAAATATCTTATCCATGAACACAATACGGTGAATAAACCCGGGAAGGGTTCGTGCCTTCGTCAGTTTTACCCTCGTTCAGTTTTGCCCTCGTTTTACCCAGTTTTACCCTCGTTCAGTTTTGCCCTCGTTTTACCCAGTTTTTCTATCGTTTTTCCCTACTTTTTCCTTCGTTTACCCTCGTGTTTACCAAAGATCGTATTCCCGATTGAAAAAGCAAACATCTTTTTGGAATGGAAATTGTTTCTCATTAACAGGAAGTGAATATTGATGATCATTCATTCCTAACCTTCTGATAAAACTTGTGGTTTTGAGAAGTGAGATGAACTAATGCTGTCTTGGAATTCTAACTCGAAATGATGAAAATTTGTCCCAAATTTACCCCTTCTATACTTTATTTCATGAATGCCTTGGATAACCAGGATATCTTCTTGTTAAAAAATGGAAGAAGGCTTCTTGATTGATTCTTTAAAATTTTTCTAGCAAACAATCAATGTTTTGCCTTTTCTCTTGTTTACTGTATTTCTTAAAACGAAAACGTTTAACACACTGTGAAATTCTTGATCAATTCTTTAACCATGAATAAAAATAGCTGCGTATAAAGAAAAAAGCATAACGTGTCATCACGTAACTTGACGTGTAGATTAACAATTTCATTTAAACGTCTGTGGTAAAAGCTCTCACGGTTGAGATAGAAAACGTTTCCGAGATCCATGTCCAATGCAGTGTCCAGACAATTCTGTCTTATAATTCCCGTCCTTCAGCGAGATTAAAAAATATTGAAGGAAAAACTGCAGCCAAATGTCGGGTTGGGACTAAACATCATTTCACACCTAGTCTCTTTTTGTCTAACATTAGTCGAGGCTGATTGGCAAGACGTTCCTCTAGAGGCAATTTGAATATGAATGCGCCATTTTTCAATAATTTTCCTCTTTTTTCATCAGAATAGAGGACGCAGTTATCGGTTTGAATGAAAATTTTCGAATAGTTTGTTTAAGAATAGTGAGAGCGGAATTGTTACATGCAACCCCAGCTGACCAGCACTTATTCTTCAATGAATTAGGGGATTGTACTTCCATCTCATTTTTGTAGGGTATCCCTCTGTTTAAGGAAATTAAAACGATAAGTGAAGCGTTGACGACCCAATTGTCCTTGTAATTTAAAATAACAAAGAGACTTTCGCGTTGTTTTTGCTAAACAAAAACACATTCAATAAAAAATTAGAAAATTTTATACGTAGCATCTCATTACACAAACGCTTAAAAGACACCTGTCAAACCTTTTTTTCAACATCTAATCTTTACTGTACTATGCTGAGCATCGTGTTATTCTTTTGTTGTCGAGCACGAAAAAAAAAACCCATTTTTTATTTAACTTAGATACTGCCCCCCGTGCCATGCGTAAACAGAGTATAGAACGAGGTAACTGAATATCTTTAAATCATCAATTAGTACCACTCAGCCGCCAATTTTTTTTTTTTTGCTGCAGTTGAAACCAACTTGAAGTGTCCTTACATATTATTTTATTATACCGCTGTGTTCAAAAAATTTCCATGGGTCATATTTTAGGAAGGCTTGAAATTGCATACGCAACATCGAAATTTCCTATTCGAATTAATCAAACAGACCACAACGATAACATGCATTTTTAAATAGCTTTATTAATTTTTCACCAAGTTAATAATCACAAATGACAGAGTAAGGATATCAGTCTCATTTGGTATCGACCCAACAGCAGCATAAATTATTCGATACTTCAATATTTCCATTTGAGATAAGCTTAATATACGGATAATCAGCCCAAAAAATCAAATAATGGAAAGCGATCCCAAAAAGCACCCCTTTTTTTCCAAATGACCTGCAAGGAAAAATAACGAGATGCTGTTCAGGATCATGATAACAAAGCCAAAGTGTTGAGAGGATTTGAAAAAATAAGCTTTGAAAAAACAGCTATTCAACATGAAAAAAACTCACGTTCAACCATCTTTAAATAAAAATGTTGCAACTCCTCTGTGATGTATAGAAACAATAAAACTAACCTCACTGGTATATCTTAAATCTAGCGGATTTCCTTTCCTTTCAATTTCCTGTCAAAATAGGCAAAACATTTCATTATTTCAAGTATTTTGTTCAGATACAATTAAAAGCTGGAAAGCCGCTGTTTTAAGCTAACATTATGATCGAATTTCTTCATTCCTCGCTTTGTATTCTCCACATCACTTTTACTAAAAAAGATGCAATTTTTTTTCATTTTAGACTAAAAGGCATCTCTTCCATCTCAGTTTGAAAAACGTTTTAATGCTTCATTTTTTTAAAAGAACTGACGCGAAGAACTAACAAAAACATGACACAACTTATTTCTGTTCTGTTGATCATATGTTATACTATTCTACATGGGCGACATTTAGTGACATGCGTCCGGCGTGGGACGCATTCTGTTTAGCCAAAGAGGTCTATAGAAGGTAGTAGATATGGCGTAGTAAGTTGCATTAGACAACAAAACCTTATTAAACGACAACACGCGTTGCTTGTTAAGAAATTTTTTGACTTAATTCGTATAGCGGATATTAAACTGAAAGAAATTCTACCATTCAATTCCCAAGAGTGATTAACATCGTAATCTCCTTCCAATGTCACTCTCAAATCAAACATCAAGGTCATGAGAATAAAGGAAATGATCAAGAACTGGTAAAGTTCTTGATTGTTGAACCGTTTCTCCTTGTGAAGAGTATACTATAGAGATTATGTATGATAATATTGGGATGTAATACCTCTGCACGAAGCCACTTTACATTTCTTTCCCTTCCTCGCTTTTCCTCTACAGTCCTTTCCGTCTTTTGAGGGGGGTGGATTGGTGCAAGTACGATATTTGTATCTCTTCCCCGTGCCACAAGTCTTGTTGCACTCGCCGTAATCTGACCATTCACTCCAACCTCCATTCACTATATTCGTACAATTAATAATGGCAGTAGGACCGAGTGGAGTACAATTCGCTCTATAATCGTACGGGGGATTAGCTAAATTGGACGACCGCGAAGAGGGAGTCCAATTTGTCAATTACGAGTATGATTGCGGACAGAATTGGACGACAAGAAGTCCTGTTACCTATTAATCATAACCGTTACAATTTCCGAAAAAAACCAAATACATTTAGGTCAAATATCTTCGATAGGGACAATGTCTAAAGTAAAAATATTATTTGGAAATTCATCAATTTTTCCTCGGTTAAGTGGTTGTTGCTATGGTTATTGTAATTAACTCTGTGATTGCTGGATCTGGCTGAGAGGACTTAATATGATTGGCTACTTCAACTGTCCGATTACAGGTGTCCCGATTACAGTCAACTGTCCGATTACAGTCAACTGTCCGATTACAGCCAACTGTCCGATTACAGCACTACAAAATGATTAGTGAAAAAATAAAGCAGCTAATGCACCAATCACGTTTAGGAAATTGAAATGGTTATGATTAAATGACGAAACACCAACTGATAAGTCACGACTTAGGTAAATCGACTTAATAACATGATAGGAATGCGCATATGCGACTATTTGACCTCAATTTTGAATCTTGTAAAGCTTACGAATAGAAAAAGAAAAGCGAATATTTTGTGAGAAACCTTTTCATTTTAACCTCGTTTCGAAAAAACCAGAATTGTTATCTTCTGTGGTGTTTTACTATAAAGACTCCATGCAGCATGGAATCCATTTGTTTTATACGATAAAAAAGCAAAATGTTGTTAAATTTGATATCATCTATGGATCTAGAACCAATCTGAATGCGTGTAAGATTCAGCTTATCATATTATTTCATACTGTGAACGTTAAGCTAAAAGGAAATAGAAGGATTTATCGTACCTTTGCATGAAGCCTCTCTACATTTCTTTCCCTTCCTCGCCCTCCCGTAACAGTCCTTTCCGTCGCCAGACTGGGGTGGATTGGTGCACGTTCGATATTTATATTTTTTCCCCTTGCCGCAGCTCTTGCTACACTCACCATAGTTTGACCAGTTACTCCACCCTCCGTCAACTGAAATAGTAAAATACTTAGCTGACTTCGCCATTGACTAAAATGTCACCACTTAGGTAAATTTACCAAGATGACATAACAGAAATGTCTAAAATAAATACCAAGGTCCTACTGTAACTCGATAATAGGTAATGACAGGAGCCAATGGGCTCCTGGTAATGACAAGATTTAGCTGATTTAACACTAAATTGTCACAAGTCCCCTACCATTGCAAGGTCCATTATTGCAAGTCCGTGTTTCTTGGCTGTCTCCTGAACACTGTGCCCCACCACCTGACGGAGGGGGATTGGTGCAAGTGCGCGAGCGTGCGTGCTGCCCATCACCGCATGAAGCGCTGCATTGTCCCCAGTCTCCCCAGTCACTCCAACCACCGTTCACTGGAATAACATTGGGACAAGAATTAGTATACTAGTTGGCCTACGTGACTTAAACGAACGGTGTTAGAATATTACAGTAACTTGGAAAAGGGAAGCATCATATAATCATAGCGGAGGGCCTATGCACAGAATTGGCAAGCGGAGCCCAAAACTTAAGAAAAGAGAGCCTGACAAACTGCAAAAATGTGGTTGCCATATGATGGCTGTACGTCATTCTGTTTGTGAGTTGTGTTTTACTAATGTGGCAAGCTGCATTGTTAGCTCAACGCAGGAACTTCACGTCGGTAGATCTGCACTCCATAGGAATGAGATCAATAAGCATTCACGTACATTAACGTTAAATGTGATACATGTACCTACCAGGGCATTCATGAGTATTACAGGCTTGTGTTTCTTTGCTGGACCCTACACATTGCGCTCCACCGCCCGACGGAGGGGGATTTGTACAGGTTCGTGAGCGTTCTTGGGTTCCACCCCCACATTCAGCGCTGCATTGTCCCCAAGGTCCGAAGCTGCTCCATCCGCCATTAACAGCAGCTGAAAGCATAGCAGAGGAGTGTTGCTGAACCGTATAAAAGGGTATTCAGATTTCTCCTTTAGCAATTATTCAAATATTAAAATTAAGAGGTTAAAATTAAGTGACCAGCGCAGTACAAAGAAGAATGACCGATTATCCACATTTTAGATCTTGGACTCTACCACCTTGTGAGATGATCTGTCGGCTAAGCTGCAGAAAGACCGGAAGCGTCATGGGCTTAACTGTAAGTTCACATAGAAACCACCGCCCTACATGTTTTTAAGATTTACAGCGTTGAAAGCTTCTAACGTGAATAATAGTATAAAGAAAGGTACATATCCTGTTACCTACATCTTTCTCGGTAAAGTTACCCATTGCATATTTAGAGTTCTTCGAGTATTCACTGACTTTCCATGTGGTGATCAGATTTACCTTTTTTCATCTTGCAGCATCGAAATTTTTCGATGCAATAAATATTGTTGCAGTCGCTTTTGTAGAAGCCAGTCATGAAGTAGCCCGCCTGTTGGCACTCGCTCCAACCTTTATTGTCGAAGGAATATGTGACATCTTGATCGTAACAGTGTTCATAACTGTTTGGATGACCCTGAGGGTGGCAACATTTTGCCTCGTCAATGTGGTGCAGATAGGCTGGCGGACCAGCGCCGAGCCTCATACCTTGCATGTAGTAACCATTAGGGCACAGTGCCCAGACACGAGTTCTAGAAGAGAATTTCAAAGCATCTTAAGATAAAATTGGTATAGGTAATAACATGATTTCTCGTGCAATTTGGTGTTAATAAGCTTGAGTAACCTTTTTAAAGACTACAAATTGCACGATCCCGTGAAAAGAGTGCAATTTGTAGTCTTTGAAAAATTTACAAGTGCTTATTACACCAAATTGCAAGAGAAACAATGTTATTACTAATTAATAATTTCAATGAAAAACATCACAGAAAGTCAAGACCGACGAAATTAACTTTGAAAGCGTGCGCGCGCTATATTTGTAATTTGCATTCGTGTTACAACTTTGAACTCGTGTTGCATGAGAATGCACTCGTTTTAAGCCAATCAGAAGCGCGTAAATTTTTCATCCACATTATTACGCTTACAAAGAACTTTGTACGATATAAAGAAAAACTAAGTTTAAATTCATGCATAAGTCAATTTTCCAAAAACGCCGAAGCATTCTGATTTCAAGAACATGAAGCGGCTGAGAGTATTGGCACTCCTTTTTGCACGAGACTGAAATTCATTGCAGGCGAGGTCTATACCACTTTTTTTTTTACTGCTTTCTACGACCCTTTAATATCAAGTCTAATGAATGTCATGTTCAGAAAAAGTCGCACAAGATAGCCCCAGTTAGGGATAAAAGTGTCTCCGTGAGCATGGCCTTTCCAATTCATTCTAAATCAGTTCATGGTGGGACTCACCTATCCAGCGTGTGAAGCCAATTCGCGTTTGAACATGTGGAAGGTTTGTGGACATAAGTTGGTTCTGTTGCCCGACAGCACCTTCCATACTCAATGCGACCAACTCTCTCGTCTCCAGGGTGTCGATCATTTCTCCACATCCCCTTGAGGTAGGTCATACTGTTAGGACAGGTAGACCACGTGGCCCTGTCCAAACTAACCGACCAATCAGCTTGATCACATTGACTGAGGGTGATATCAGCCTGGCAAATCAGCAGCGTGCTGACGACTGAAATAGCAAACACTACATTCATCTTGTACTTGGCTTCTTAGGAGAAAAAACGCAGATATACCTGATGATCCTCTAGCAAAATAAAAGAAAATAATTCATTACTTTGATAGTTTTTCTCGATAATAAGGGGTGATTGATTCATAGAACGAACCTGTAATTATTAGATTTCATTTAGCGAAGCACATGATTAATGAAGCACGATAATCTGCTTGGGAAGTTTGGCAGAATCTAGCTGAGAGAGAAAATAAATTAATCGACTTAAATAAGCTTAATCTCGAAATCTACCCGTCCAAGATTGTTTTGGAGTATACTTAAAATATTAAGCTTATTGTTCAGTTGGTGGATAATATTTTCATTCATGAACGAAACAAAGCCGCCTAAATTTTTGAAAATAAGTAACAGTCTTATCTTCACAAAGACTATCGTTTTTGAAATCTTTGATACCGAGGAATGAATAATTTCCTACTTCTCTCCAAAATCTTACTGAATGGTTTGTCAAAACTGTAAAGCAGACAAGTATGGGGTTAAAAATTTTTAAGAATTAATTCTGACGTCTCTCTCTACTGAGAATGACATAGACCCATCATCTTAAATTAAACCTCTCGAGAATGATGGCATAATTTTCCTCCATAATTGGTTAAACAGTACGATGAAGAGAAACCTTATCAACTCTGGGATAACTTAAATTTCCCGCAGGTATCATAAGTTTCAATTTTATGAATAAAGTGAATAGCGGACAGTTCAAAATAAAGATTATGTTTTCAAATTTCTATGGAACAGAAACCGATCCTTTTTCGGCAATACGTAAGACAAATTTGTATCGCCTAATTCGTGGGAAACGAGAGACAAAAACAAAGTAAAAATAAACCCTGGCACAAAAGTTTTCTGCACAGTTAAAGAAAAACGGCCCATAAAGTACATGACTACTGATGCAAGAAATTCAGGAGTTTCTTTTAAGCCTCTATTAGAATTGACAGAAACTGAAGCAGATAACTCTAAATGTTTGAAGAAGTTTGTTCTAAGGATAGAATAAAGGGCAGACAAAAAGTGACCCTGACTTCTTTTGGAAAAATTTAACACAAGCGGCCTGTATGAGCTGGAAACATACCTCTTTTGCTTGATTCAGCTAGCTGTAGCTGTGCTGTAGCAGGGATTAGTACTCTGAGCACAATGAGCCCACACGATATAATGAAAAATACTGTCACTTTCCTCTTAGTACACGTACGCACATTTGTGCAAAACGGTGGAAGCCACGCTTATACATAATTCTGCGTTAAAACGTCGTTCCTCTGGTTACCGACTACCCTGATTATTATACTGATTATTAAATAAAACTTATGAAAAAAATCTAATTAGCGTTCCAATTACAAATTCTTTAGTGTAGATATCAAACTTAAATCATCTAGTTCAGTATTTGTCAATTCTGTAAGCCTCTTACACAGTTTCATCACCAAAGATAAAGTTCTTGAGAAGCAAGCAGCTTTCTATTTTTATGCAAATGACTTCTTTCGCAGTATGGGATAACGCAAACATCATATGGAAGATCTAAATTTATTAAACTTGTAACATTTCCGTCAGATGCTTTTATCTTCTACTTATTAGCATGACATCGGTGCAATACAAATTTTCCGTGTTCACAGAAGCTTTGTAAACATCCCTTGAAAATTGATTTTTCTTCTAACCGGGGGTTAGACTGATTAATTGAATATCACCATAAAAATGTTTCCTTTTCTTTACGCTGAATATACTATCGAAGTTGTTAAAATCAGAGCTGAAAATTTTGGGAATTTCAAAGCACCTCCTAGGTACTTCGTAAAATGGCTTCTCTCATGTAACTAATCGCTGAAATGTTGCTGTTATTTGAACCCTTTCACTCTTAAGATCTCATTAGTCATTCCCTTTACTGTCTGCCATACGATTCTTATGATGTTAGCTAGGAGAATTTGATAATTGATTATATAATCACTATCCCCTAATTTATATTTTTTTCATTATCATCACTTGACCGTTTCATATTGTAATGATATTGTTAGAAGAAATTCTGTTATAGCCACTCATGGGTGTTACAGGGTTAAGAAGTGTGCTCAAAAGCCACCGACGCTACACACCGATAACAAATTCACAATGACTACGAGCTATGCCCGAGTCCTGCTTACCAACCGAGGCAAACGTTGTAGAACGTGGTATTTCCATGGCAACAAAGTTTTTAAAGCCTACCGTGGCTTAAATATAGTTTTTAACCCTTTTACTTTGAAAACTCTTTTGTTAGATACGATGAGTCGACTTGTATCCCGTTTCCTGACTTTCAACTGGTATTTCTGTGAACTCTGCCATTTTATTACAACTTTCTGACTTTTGAGTCGATTTTTGAGTGGGTAAAGTTAAGAAGTGAAAAAATGAAAAAAAGGAACTCTTGAAGACTAATGTATCCAGTAAATTTCTAATAAGATCATATACATTGTATCTTATTAGGAGAATCCTTGTTTATAGAAAAACTTATTAGCCTGAAGCAATAATTTAGGGAAGCTATACCCATTTAGTATACGCTATAGCAGTGGATAGCGTTGAGGGCGCGCTCTGATTGGCTACGCAAACTCCGAATAACCTTACTTATTCACCCTCTAGCAACTCGCGCGGGATTCGCCCCCGCAGGTATCATAAGTTTCAATTTTATGAATAAAGTGAATAGCGGACAGTTCAAAATAAAGATTATATTTTCAAATTTCTATGGAACAGAAACCGATCCTTTTTCGGCAATACGTAAGACAAATTTGTATCGCCTAATTCGTGGGAAACGAGAGACAAAAACAAAGTAAAAATAAACCCTAGCACAAACGTTTTCTGCACAGTTAAAGAAAAACGGCCCATAAAGTACATGACTACTAATGCAAGAAATTCAGGAGTTTCTTTTAAGCCTCTATTAGAATTGACAGAAACTGAAGCAGATAACTCTAAATGTTTGAAGAAGTTTGTTCTAAGGATAGAATAAAGGGCAGACAAAAAGTGACCCTGACTTCTTTTGGAAAAATTTAACACAAGCGGCCTGTATGAGCTGGAAACATACCTCTTTTGCTTGATTCAGCTAGCTGTAGCTGTGCTGTAGCAGGGATTAGTACTCTGAGCACAATGAACCCACACGATATAATGAAAAATACTGTCACTTTCCTCTTAGTACACGTACGCACATTTGTGCAAAACGGTGGAAGCCACGCTTATACATAATTCTGCGTTAAAACGTCGTTCCTCTGGTTACCGACTTCCTTGATTATTAGATTGATCATTAAATAAAACTTATGAAAAAAATCTAATTAGCGTTCCAATTACAAATTCTTTAAAAATTTTGGGAATTTCAAAGCACCTCCTAGGTACTTCGTAAAATGGCTTCTCTCATGTAACTAATCGCTGAAATGTTGCTGTTATTTTAACCCTTTCACTCTTAAGATCTCATTAGTCATTCCCTTTACTGTCTGCCATACGATTATTATGATGTTAGCTAGGAGAATTTGATAATTGATTATATAATCACTATCCCCTAATTTATATTTTTTTCATTATCATCACTTGACCGTTTCATATTGTAATGATATTGTTAGAAGAAATTCTGTTATAGCCACTCATGGGTGTTACAGGGTTAAGAAGTGTGCTCAAAAGCCACCGACGCTACACACCGATAACAAATTCACAATGTCTACGAGCTATGCCCGAGTCCTGCTTACCTACCGAGGCAAACGTTGTAGAACGTGGTATTTCCATGGCAACAAAGTTTTTAAAGCCTACCGTGGCTTAAATATAGCTTTTAACCCTTTTACTTTGAAAACTCTTTTGTTAGATACGATGAGTCGACTTGTATCCCGTTTCCTGACTTTCAACTGGTATTTCTGTGAACTCTGCCATTTTATTACAACTTTCTGACAGAGTCGATTTTTGAGTGGGTAAAGTTAAGAAGTGAAAAAATGAAAAAAAGGAACTCTTGAACACTAATGTATCCAATAAATTTCTAATAAGATCATATACATTGTATCTTATTAGGAGAATCCTTGTTTATAGAAAAACTTATTAGCCTGAAGCAATAATTTAGGGAAGCTATACCCATTTAGTATACGCTATAGCAGTGGATAGCGTTGAGGGCGCGCTCTGATTGGCTACGCAAACTCCGAATAACCTTACTTATTCACCCTCTAGCAACTCGCGCGGGATTCGCCCCCGCAGGTATCATAAGTTTCAATTTTATGAATAAAGTGAATAGCGGACAGTTCAAAATAAAGATTATATTTTCAAATTTCTATGGAACAGAAACCGATCCTTTTTCGGCAATACGTAAGACAAATTTGTATCGCCTAATTCGTGGGAAACGAGAGACAAAAACAAAGTAAAAATAAACCCTAGCACAAAAGTTTTCTGCACAGTTAAAGAAAAACGGCCCATAAAGTACATGACTACTAATGTAAGAAATTCAGGAGTTTCATTTAAGCCTCTATTAGAATTGACAGAAACTGAAGCAGATAACTCTAAATGTTTGAAGAAGTTTGTTCTAAGGATAGAATAAAGGGCAGACAAAAAGTAACCCTGACTTCTTTTGGAATAATTTAACACAAGCGGCCTGCTTGGAAACAGACGGTCTTTTGGCGGCCTGCTGGAAACATACCTCTTTTGCTTGATTCAGCTAGCTGTAGCTGTGCTGTAGCAGGGATTAGTACTCTGAGCACAATGAGCCCACACGATATAATGAAAAATACTGTCACTTTCCTCTTAGTACACGTACGCACATTTGTGCAAAACGGTGGAAGCCACGCTTATACATAATTCTGCGTTAAAACGTCGTTCCTCTGGTTACTGACTACCCTGATTATTATACTGATTATTAAATAAAACTTATGAAAAAAATCTAATTAGCGTTCCAATTACAAATTCTTTAGTGTAGATATCAAACTTAAATCATCTAGTTCAGTATTTGTCAATTCTGTAAGCCTCTTACACAGTTTCATCACCAAAAGAGGTTCTTGAGAAGCAAGCAGCTTTCTATTTTTATGCAAATGACTTCTTTCGCAGTATGGGATAACGCAAACATCAGAGTGGAAGATCTAAATTTATTAAACTTGTAACATTTCCGTCAGAAAGCTCTTTCTTTCTACTTATTAGCATGACATCGGTGCAATACAAATTTTCCGTGTTCACAGAAGCTTTGTAAACATCCCTTGAAAATTGATTTTTCCTCTAACCGGGGGTTAGACTGATTATTTGTATATCACCATAAAAATGTTACCTTTTCTTTACGCTGAATATACTATCGAAGTTGTTAAAATCAGAGCTGAAAACTTTGGGAATTTCAAAGCACCTCCTAGGTACTTCGTAAAATGGCTTCTCTCATGTAACTAATCGCTGAAATGTTGCTGTTATTTGAACCCTTTCACTCTTAAGATCTCATTAGTCATTCCCTTTACTGTCTGCCATACGATTGTTATGATGTTAGCTAGGAGAATTTGATAATTGATTATAGAATCACTATCCCCTAATTTATATTTTTTTCATTATCATCACTTGACCGCCATATTGTAATGGTATTGTTAGAAGAAATTCTGTTATAGCCACTCATGGGTGTTACAGGGTTAAGAAGTGTGCTCAAAAGCCACCGACGCTACACAACCATAACAAATTCACAATGTCTACGAGCTATGCCCGAGTCCTGCTTACCAACCGAGGCAAACGTTGTAGAACGTGGTATTTCCATGGCAACAAAGTTTTTAAAGCCTACCGTGGCTTAAATATAGTTTTTAACCCTTTTACTTTGAAAACTCTTTTGTTAGATACGATGAGTCGACTTGTATACCGTTTCCTGACTTTCAACTGGTATTTCTGTGAACTCTGCCATTTTATTACAACTTTCTGACAGAGTCGATTTTTGAGTGGGTAAAGTTAAGAAGTGAAAAAATGAAAAAAAGGAACTCTTGAACACTAATGTATCCAATAAATTTCTAATAAGATCATATACATTGTATCTTATTAGGAGAATCCTTGTTTATAGAAAAACTTATTAGCCTGAAGCAATAATTTAGGGAAGCTATACCCATTTAGTATACGCTATGGCAGTGGATAGCGTTGAGGACGCGCTCTGATTGGCTACGCAAACTCCGAATAACCTTTGTTATTCACCCTCTAGCAACTCGCGCGGGATTCGCCCCCGCAGGTATCATAAGTTTCAATTTTATGAATAAAGTGAATAGCGGACAGTTCAAAATAAAGATTATATTTT